TTCTGCTTAACTGCTGCCATTTGACATTGCTGAAACACAAATGCAGAATGATTGAGTTGCCAACATATCATTAAGTCTTCTGCAAGGGGGATTTTCAGCATATTAACGCTTCAGGCTTTTACGTCAGTATTGATTGCTGAAATAGAAAAGAAACCTTTGGCAGTATTCAGCATTGTGCCAACGCACACTTACTGGCAGGAAAAAGAAGCTGCCCATTGCCATTGGCTGTGACTGCATCCCTTCCTTCCTTCCTTCCTTTCTTTCTTGTATTCTTTATTTCTATACACACCCATACAGAGTTTTGAAATTTAATACATATCATAGCTGAATTCCAGTTTACCTAACAGTAAATCAACAGGGCAAATTGATTTTTTGATACAGTCAGATGCAGAGGCTATTTAATTTTGCGGCTGCCTGCATTATGCCTGTCCAGATTTCACGGCAGCTGGGGAGGGAGTGATGGCAACCGTCCCTCAGAGCAGGAGTGCAGGTCAAGGGCAGACTTGGGGGAGATAGTGGAGTGGTGGTCTCCACCGTGCTCCTTGTGGGGCAGCCAGGTTGTCCCCGTGTTAGTCCCCAGAGGCAGGGGTGGCCATTGTGGAGCCGGGTGCCACGGGTAGAGGAGCAGCACGATGCTGCTGGGGCCAGGCTGCAAAAGGGAGGTTTACCTCCTGGGACATAGTGCTGCAGAAGACCCCGAGATGGGACCCCATGACTGAGACACAGAGGATTAAGTGGATGGTGGGGGGTAGTGGGAGGCAGCTTGATGGTGTCCGCCGGCTGTTGATGCAGTGGTGTCCAGGTGCATGAGCATCTGAGGAGGGGTTTGCTTTTCTGAAGCAGGAAGCAAGACGAAGGTGTGAGCCCTCCTGCAGTTGCTGGAGGAACATCTCTATGTACTTATCACTGCCCTATACCAAAACCATTGCCTGCCTCTGCTTTTTGTTAGTCTGATCCCTTAGATGACACTTTGCAGCCAGCTTTAGATTGGAAGATATTGTAAGAAGGACCACCTGGGCATGCTGAAGGTTATGATGTCTCACTAAAATAGGGAAATACGACAGGGTGTGGGGCAGAGATATTGAACAGAAAATGGGGAAGGACATGTTCCTGGACAGGGCGGAGGAGATTTTCCCTTGATTTGGAGGTCAGTCCTGGCTGATCCTCTTCCCTTTGAATTGGGAATGTCAAGTGAAGAATGGAGGAGTGATTATGTCAAAATTGCTCTGCACAAAGATTTGGCAAAGAGGGAACTAATCACAGTATCATAGGAAGATTTCTAGGAGTGACCTAACTGTTGATGGGGAGTGACGTTACAGCTAGCGAACAGCAGCAGTGACCATTTCTCTTCTATTTCTGAAATCTGCTTAATGCTCCCTTCTTTCAGGTGTAGTTAAGGGGAGCTTTCCGAATTTGATTTGCTTCTCACTTGTGGATTAACAAAAAGTAGGAACAATAATGGCAAACGTGCCAAAATCTGCTTCTTAGGGACCAGGATTCATTAATATAATGACCACTGAAAGTCCACTAAAGCTGGATCTTTTGACCAGAAAATATCAGCAAGAAAGCTTCAAAAGCTTATTTGGGGTTTGTTTTGGTTACTGTGATATTGAATTTCTCTCTTTGGTCAATTGGATCAAACACTTAGAGCTTTAGAAAGGGAAAAGTAGCTTTATTTGAAAAGGGTTAGAGGACTCCATCATTTCTTTACCTCTGCCTGGTCCACAGTAAGTACAAGCTTTAGCTGGCATGCTTAAATCAAAATGGGTACTTCTGGCCTTACAGAAAGGCTGGGGATTGTCTCAATTACAGCAATTTTTCAATAGGAGGCTGTCTTTTTCACTAAACAACATGTTCGTATTAAAAAATGTCTCTACAGATTTTTTTATTTGAAAGCTATGGCTCAGACTTAGAAAAGCTGTAGCTGATAATTGAAACATTTTATTCTGGAAGCACCTTCCCACTGGCAGCTGTAGTTTAAGTATCTTAAATACAGATCTTCTCTGTGGAGGACAGTCCCCATATGACATTGTCTATAAGCCCATGAAAGAGAACAGGAGCACAAGCACCTAAACTGCAGATTCCCTGGTGTACAACAGTAGGGTCTCCAAATAAAATAACGTCAGACTTGAAATTGAAATTTTTGTCTTGCAGTTTGTTTGTTTTGCTTAAAAGTCAGCATTTTCATCAGATGAAGGTATAAACAGGCACCTGAATCTTCTAGCCAGCTCAATTAATTAGCAATAAAAGCCCAGCATGTGTTGCATAAGAATTTCATTGTTGATGTGTGAGACTGAATAAAAACCAGTTTCTCTTTCTGCAGCTCTGGGGGCTGTTGACTTTTTACACAGTAAAATGAGGCTTGGGAAGAGAAAGGGGTTAAACAGTGAAGGAAGTGATCTGACCTTGAACTGCCACAAAGATCTTGGGAATAGGAAGGCCCTGTCTAGGGTAAGTGATACCGGGCGTGCTTTCCAGGCGTGTGCCTGGATCAGCAGTGGTTCAGTGCGCACCTGGCAGAAGTCTTGCTCGGTGCTTGATAAATTGTCTTCTCCCAGCATGAGTTAAAGTAATGAATCTTTTATTTCTAAATTACTACAGGGCTCCATAGTATTTCAGCTTTTTATTTTTTTTCCTAGTTTCAGATAGGTAATGCGATCCACACCTTACCTAAGGAGTTTGATGGTATCGCATGCTTAATCTTTAAAATGCTGGGGAGGGGGACAAAGCTTTGTTGTCAAGGGAAATAACCATCCTGGCAGAGAGAAAAGTACCAGTAGGATGCTGCCACTGATTTGGCAGGGACTGTTTGATGCATGCTTTGTTAGCTGGGTGTTGATTTTCTTTTCTGTTTTTATGCTTTTTTAATTACATTTGAAGGTGCTTCCAAAATACTGGTCTTTAACTGAGTGCCTTCATTTAGATACAGCAAAATCCAAAAGAATACAGAGAAAAAAGAGGAACTGTACATTAGTAATGAGAAAACCAAGAGCTAGGGACACATCTGAATGAAATTAAATCCCCGGCCAGACAACATGGGTATTGCTCTGTGGGGCTGTGCCTGTTTGACTGCTGCCTCCACTGCGTGCTGTAGGCAAGCAGATCTGTTGCTCATGCTTTCCAAGACCTGCTCAGCTCCTTAAAGCCCTTCCTAATAAAATGAGTAAGTTAACGCCTGTGTGTGAAAGTGCACTCAAGAAACTTACTTTTTGAACAGCATGGTACCTGCCTGCTGCAGTGACCATCTGGTGCCCAGAGGCAGCCAGAGGAGGCCGGGCTGGCAGACAGTGCAGGCCGCACAGGCCGCGGGCTGTTGCTTCTCCTCCTGCCGAAAGATGCAGGTGTAAGAGCATAAAACCTGCCCTGCCAGAGTGGATTCATGTAGTACACCCGTCGGGATGGAAAAATGCCTCTGCTCGTTGCTTTAACAAATACCGTAAAAACTCATCCCAGCATCTCATTTTCTGGCTGTGGTAGGGAAATGCAGTGTTTCTGTCAGGCCACTCCACCTTCTCCAAGCAGAAACCATCAAAGTGCTGTTCTTATGCACAGGAATCTCATCCAGACGTACAGGCATAAGAAGCACCCTGGGGAATACCAGGGTATTTTATTAATAATACCTTTACTTTCTCATTGGCCCTATAGGACACCCCATTGACAGCCAGTATACAGACTACTCATAGGCATATAGATGCAACAAAACCCAGATATATTTATATTTTTATAAATATAAAATTTATAGTTATATTTTTATCAATATTTCTCTGAAAAAAAGGCTCTTACGAAAGGTTGACTTTACAGGACGCCTTTAACATCCTCTGTGGTACATGCTGCTCTCCTCTGTGGTACATGCTGCTCCGTATTTGAGCTGAGGCTAGCAAGCTCAAGCTAACTAAAATAAAAAATGGCACAGGACAATGCAGCGATACAACTTTTCTCTCCCAGTATGGGTTAAAGAGCTATTGTAGGGCCAAAGCAGCAGGCAGTTGTGTTCAACACAGCTACCCCCTGCTCTGTGGGATTCAGCAAGAAGGGGAGCAAGGATCCAGGGAGGGCAAGGGCTGAATGAACCAATACTTCTACCAAAAAATTGTCCATGCAGTCGCAGCCTGGGTGAGGCAATCTCACACCAGACCAAAGTAAACTCTGGGAAGAATTCTTACAGTCAAGTAGTTTCCATCAAATAGGTTTCTCTTTTGTATCACATCACACTAATAATTTTTTAGGCTTTTTTGCTCTTTGTGCTGTTTTGTAGGGGTTTTTTTAAATTTGTTTCCTTTAATGAGAGTGAAAGCCTCAGAGCTCTTTTTAGTTCTAAAAGAAACATTTGAGGCATTCTGCCTATTTGGCTTTTCCATAGGGACATTAATTCATAAGCAGCAAAGAATATTACAACTGTTTACAGTAGCCCTCAGTGATCAGTGTGTGAGACTGGGATTTTGAAAGAAGAGTATTTGGTTCCAGAATCAAAATCTAAACTAAAAGCTTCAAACTCAAAAATGTTTGGAGTTGCTCAAACAAACACAATGAAAAATTTTCAACTTGCCAACTTTCAGAACCATGTGAATCTTCAAGCTTGTTTTGTTTTGTTTATCTTCTGAGCCTCAGAAAGCAAAGCAGCCCTGGAGGTCAAAATGTCTAATATTTTACCTTTAGACATGTCAAGTATTACTTGCTTAAACATGTAGTCCTGCTTATGTAGGATATTTTACAAATTAACAGATGCTGCTTGAAGGTGTAAGAGGTGCCGTGGGTTTCAGCTGAGCTTCAAGAGAACTGCAGTGCCTCTGATGTAACACATTACTTTGTCAGTCTTACCATCATGTGCTTTATAGTTTTCCTGTAAGATCCAGGGTATAGCATTATGTAGCAGCCAGCTGCAGTTCGTTAGGTAGTTTAGTCATGGATGATCGGTTTCGCTCTAGCTGAGAGTGACTTTAAGAAGGAAATCGGTGCTGGCTCCAGTTTGCTTAAAAGTGTTGCATATTTTGTTTCCCCAGAGTGTTTCTCAGCTTCCCTATGGCAAAGCTCTCTACACGTATGAGGGAAAAGAGCCTGGTGACCTCAAGTTTAACAAGGGGGACATCATCATACTGCGGCGAAAGGTGGATGAGAACTGGTACCATGGGGAGCTCAATGGGAATCATGGCTTCTTCCCCGCCAGCTACATCCAGTGTATCAAGCCTCTCCCGCAAGCTCCACCTCAGGGCAAAGCACTTTACGACTTCGAAATAAAGGATAAAGATCAAGACAAGGATTGCCTGACCTTCACCAAGGTAGGGGAATAGGTTTCTTTAAAAAAAAAAGTTCAGAAAGCTGCGCTTGTGGGTTCTGATGGGGTGTTTGAGATGCTGGCAGCCAAGCCTGGAGCATGGTGTTTCTGGGACTGCTGGGAATCTTGCCTGGCCTCCCTGGGCAGCTCTGCCCAGAGATCCCCTGCAGTCTGTTTGTTTCTTTCAACTGGTTTCTTGAATGAGAAGATTAAAGCCCTTTAGCTCAGGCAGCCTAGTGGGGACAGGCTGACAAAGTTGAATTATGTTTATTGAGTGGGAAGTCCCCTCATATAATGTGCTGAAGGACATTGACTTCTCCCAACTTGCAAATCCCCCTCCCTATGGAGGCAGAGCCTGCTTGGTGACCCTGCAATGTCCTGCACACTAGCTCTGCTGCAGGCCTGGGTGGATGTAAAGCCTTCCCCTGGGGCAAGCCCCATGTTGGCATGGTTGGGGGATTCCTCCTGTTTTGTCTGAAGGCAGTGAGATAGCTCGTACCACATACAGCAAGGTTGGTATAAAGCCAGTGAAACTCGATGACTGGCTGCACACTTTGTGAGAACATTTTTCTGTCTAAAAAGCATACATTTCATCTGCATGGAAATGTTCTGCAAGAACGACTCAATTTCAGAAAAAACTCTAATGGAAACGTGTCTTTTAATGTTCCTGATTGAATCAGATGTTCCAGTGTTTTAACGTGCCATTCAGCTTCAAGATGTATATTGCATTATACCATATACCAATTAGCAGTTGAAATACACTATCATCATGTATCACAGTATTTCCTATTTTAAGAACATAAAGACATTAAAAAGCAGACATTTAAAAAACAGTCTTTGTTTTCTTAAAACCAAAATGTCTAATAAATTCCATGTAGAATGAGGGAAAACTGAGATACTGTAATTTCCTTTGGATTTAAAATATCAGCTTTTCCCTTTCTCCCCCACCTCCCCACCTGCTATCTGTCTTCCCCTCCCCTCCCTAGTAATCTGTGTTGACCTTAAATGGGCTTCATGGATATCAAGAAACCCACAATAAAATAATGCATATCCTCTAATGTTAATTTATAGCTCTGAATAGCAGGGAGAACCTGTTCATTGTAATTTTCTGTTTTATTTCAACTCTCTGTGGTTGTTACAGTATCACATAAAGCAATAACAGTTATGTTGGAAATGAATATAGATGATAAAAATATCCTTCACTAGGATTTTACTGACCTCCTCTTTTGAGGCTACTTATTATAGCTGAATGAATTATTTGCAGCATGTAATTTTCTCACCAACCGTAACATCTTTTTCACTTGTGCAACGTTTCTCAGCAGAACGCAATTTCCTAGAATGTATACTTTCTCATTTATTTAACAAAAGATTTGCAAGCACTTTTGCTCCATAGCAAACGAAGTGTTTGATTGCAAACACTGCAGACCCTGCAACTACACAGGCTCCCTGGAGCTGTGAATCCCTGCGAGAAAGTGGGCTGCTTAGCGAGAAGCAGCAGCTAGGCACTACAGAAAGTTAGCCAGAACTTACTTTTGAGATCCTATCAATAAATATATATTTGCTGGCACATTGTTTTCCTCGCTGCTTGCCTAGAGGTACAACAGTGGCTTCTCTGAGGAGCAATCTTCCTTGTCAGCTTAAGGTATTCATTGCTTGCTCAATCTAAGAAACTTAACAGGTATGGCAGGCAGTTGTGGTCTTTTTTGCTAGAGCAGGTCCTTTCCTAGACACTTTTGTATTTGATATATTTGGTGCCGTATATTAGTCTATCTCCTTCACAATATCTGTCTTTGTATACTCGTAGTTCTCATTTTCTTGGCTGTCCAATGTCATTGTCACATGGAGCATTTCTTCCTGCAGTATAGCTCTATTCTCAGTCCCTCAGTTTTCCTTTTTTCACCCCTTGTGTTACTGTCTGCATCCTTTTATCCCTGATGACTGTATTTTCCCTGAGGGGGTTTGATTTCTCTCCTACTGCTATTTTCTTTAGCTCCTTCCACTACACACACTATCACCTGGTAACTGTTTTTTATGTCTTGCCTATTGTTCTCCCTGACAGTGAATAATCTATTTTTCATCTCGGGACTTTACTGTCATGTTTTCATCAGTTTTCTCAATGCTAATTTTAGCTGTCACCTGCGCTGATAAAGGTTCCTGTTTAGCCCAGATTTTTAGATCATCTGCTGATACAGTCAGTTCCTCTGCACAGTCACGAGCACTGCATTGCTGTAGATGTGATTTGTCACTCAGAGCAATATTCGTCATCTGAATGTCTCAGTTTGTGTTTGAAGGTCCTGGACTTGATCTCAATTTCATTTACACTGTTTGTTCTTTCCTCAGGTAGAGGGGTTGCACTGCCATACTGTTTATACAATCTAGTGTAACCTGTTTTTGTCCCGCAACACATTTAATGCTGTCAGACACTTGTAATTGGATTTTACTTATAATCATATAGTAAAGAAAAGTTGTCCTCTGGAGAGAGATTGCAAGAAGAGAACTCAAACATAGGGATCTCCTGTATCATTATGTTTTGTTGCTCTTTCACTGGACTTTGCTTTTTCCCCTCCCCTTTGTTATGATACAACCAGAATATCTGTCTGTGCAGTAAAAGAAAACAAAGAAAGGATATTTGGGGTTTCCTGTCACTGTTTGTTTTTTTTTTCAAAATTAAAATGTCCTGTTGTTCCAGAGATGGATTGCAAGGAAATGAAGCCTGCTTTATGCTGATCTTCATGACCAGTGCTGCAGAGGGCTTCTGCCATTTGCCCATTTTCATCTCCTGTAGACACAACACTCTCCAGATAAAAGGGCAAAGATTAATCAAATGTAATCATTTTTGTATGTGTAAGTGTAAGACTGTAAGGGATAGAGAATGCTCTGTCTTGAGTACCTGGTGCAACAAACAAGGCTCCAAGCTATCATTGTCCCACACCATGCAGACTGGTCCCAAAGTAGCCAGATGTACAGGCATAGGTGCCTGCCACTGTCCCCTCCTCTGCAGTGGTTACAAGTCAAAACATCCCAGGTCTGTGATTTAATGTATTTTTCCACAGCATTTGGCAGTGATCAGCCAAATCAGTTGGTCAGCAGTTGTTTTGCTCTCTGTAACAACAGGTTCCAGCCTTGTGTCAGCTTTGCCCCAGTTTAACTCCAGCAGTTTCAGACATGTTCCTCCCGCTGTTCCCTAGCTGGGCTGCAGTCAGTGTGTGGCATACAGAGTCTCATTGTATGCCCTTGGGATGCTCTAATTTAACTCAGCTTTATAATGACTCTGTATGTGATACCCCGGTATGAGCTTGGGCTCCTGTTGTCTCTGTTTTTAAAAAATAACCCATCCTCCCTTGGGCTACAGGCTCTTTGGTGCAAGCCATGTGCAAGGAGACTCTACTCTTCGCCATAGTGGTGCAAATCTGGAGTAATTGCATTATTGTTTGTTTGTGTAGTTACTCCAGCCTTAGACTGAGTCCACATTCAGCCCACAGTTTTGTTTTGGTATTGGACCACTCTTTGCATGCATGAGTTCATGTGGCCTTTTGAAAGCTGTGTCCCAGTGGTAGATGAGTCTCAAGCCTGTCAAGGTAGCATCAACTGTTTCCCAGGCTTTATTGCTCAGCACATTTTTAACCACATCAACTATTTCCTTCATTTTTCCAACACTTTCCTTCCCAGCCCACAGCAGCATTTAACAAATGCTGTGCCAGTCATGGAGCCATCACATCCAAAACCAGTTCCTGGCTGCAGAACAGTGTCCCACCCTCTTAGTGCTCAATCCCAGCAGCATTTGGTGCTCTCAGAGGGACAGTCGACTGGCGGTCACTGGTGATTGGAATGTTCGTGCCAGCTGGCAAGTGTTGTTGGGCGCACCAAGCAGAGTGCAGTGCCATCCGTCCATCACTGAGATCTCCCCAGTGCTCTGGATGGAGTGGTTATCTCTGCAGAATAGCAGGCACATCTGCTCTGTATTGCTTCATTAATGGCAGTTAATGACGAGAGTGAAAATCGGGCCGTGAATCATGACTGTTATTGGACACAATTTTGTGCTGTTTTCTCTGCAAAGGGGTTCATTTCGCCATCAATCAGATTGCTTTTTAAGTGATGTATCTTTGACTTACTTTCTGATAACGGTTATAAGCTGGAACTGCAAAACCCATGTGCCTATCGCAAGGCTGCTCTGTTCTGATGAATAGAGAGAGATTCGAGCAAGTAGGAGAGAGCAAATAATTAGAGACTTTAGCAACAGGCAAAAAAAGAGCACGAGGTATCTTTGTCAAACTACAATGGATACCATTGGCTTTTGAAATTAGTTTTGAGCCTTGGATTCCTTTATGCTGCCTGGAAATCAATTTAGTACATGTGAAATAGTGAAGTTCAGAAAGTTGAAGTGGTATACCAAGAGATCTGTGGCTCTTTACTATTCATGATCCTTTTGGGATCCTTTCTAGGAATTTATAAGTAGCACAGCTATCCAACTCATTTAAGGTTCAAATAAAATAAAATAGTTCGTGTTGAAGCTTTCACCAGTCCAGTGTATAAAATGATGTCGTGGTCTGTGAATTCAAGGAAACTTTATATTAATGAAGAATTTCAAAAGATGTTTTGGGATTTGCTGTAATTCCTGGAGATTTTCAACACCCTTCTGAAGACGAATTCTGTAATGGAAAGCATTCTCAAGGATTTACACTTCAGTCTCCCACAAAGATGCACATTTTGGATGTCAGCATATCTCGGGATGTGCAGCTATCTGATTTTCTCTTATATGAACACATTCAGCAGCCAGACTTGGCAGAGCTGCACTAAGATTGGTGTATGGAAATGCTTCCAGTTTTCCTAGAACCATGGAAGGTAAAGTTGGAAGGGATCTTCAAGGCCACCCATTCCCTGCCCCAACCTTGCAGCAGGATCAACCCAGGGTAAACCTTTCCTGCCAGGTGCCTGTCCAACCTGCTCCAGAGATGGATTGCACAGTACCTCTAACAAAATCTAGTTGAGTGCTTCTGGGGTTTTACAGTTGAAAAGCTTTTTCTTAATTTCTTATCTCTATGTGTGCACATATGTACATATATAGAAATACACTGATACATGCATATGTAAGCACATACACACATAAGATTTATGTATGCATACAAAAACATATAGTGAAAGTGTAGACCCATCCCACTTCAGGTTTTTAAAAAATCTTTTAAAAAATTAGCTGGACAAATATAGAAAGTAGGAACACTCATAGCAGGTTCTTGAAGTGATGCAGTCTTCTATTTTCCTAGTTTACCCCATTTACCTAGATTCTAAATTTATGATAATCGGTCTTTTGTAAGAGCATGTGGAAACTTTGCAGAAACGTATTACTGTCAGCTCTTTACACAGATCAAAAATGGTCCGTGCAGACAGGGCTTTGGAAGGGAATGCTATCTGTTTCTTCAGGAAATTAAATGCACAAATTCTTTTTGCATCCTTCCAGCTGTAATAAATAGCTGAAGGACTCAGTCTGTGGCTGTTTCTCTGAGCTTTCCCGTATTGGATAACTCAGATGAATAATTCAAAGGAAACATTTAAACTATTTTGAAGTGCACGTGTTCAAAATGCACATGTTCAAAAACTGCAAAGTACATCACATCACTGTTCTGGTCATTTCCTGTCAACATAAATCCACAGTCTGAACATCACGGATCAGGAATTTGTGGGGTTTTATTCTATGTGAGAAGTATTTGCAAAGAACAGCTCCTCTCGCCTGAACAGTTGACATGGGTAGCTTGTTACACAGAGGATGACAGACCATATGTAATCCTTATTTTCCTAGAGTGAGTGGTGGAAATAAAGTGCGAAAGGCAGGGAACTCTGCCTCAGCTTTCTGGAGGAAGATGTTTTCTTCTTTTTTTATACATTTCTGCACAAGAACGGAGGAAAGTTGCAAGCCATGAAAGAATGACTGACATCTCAGTGAACTTCACTTTGGAGTTTGTCCCAGCCCACTCCTTTCCTCTGGCCATAGGAGATCTGAGCGTCCAGGTGGTGCCCTGCAGAGAGAGCTGCCTACCACAGCTTCGTGGCAAGCGGAGCCGGCTCAAGGTTGGGTTTAGTATGACAGCCCCAGCAGACAGACTTGGGAGCAGAAATCCATTGGCAAGTTGAGCAGCTCAAACTGGGAAAACCTCACCTGAGGTTTTGTTATGACTGACATGTTCTAGGTTTTAACTCTATCAAGAGGAACTTTGAGCAGTGTGAATCCTATTTGCACTTTGCTTAATCTTCTGGCTTATAATCACAAAAAAAGTTAATCATCAGCTGAAATTTTTGTTAGATCCCTTGGTTTAAATACAGTATTAAAATGCCTTTGGTTTTAGAAAATGAACTTGTATCTAAACAGAAGCTGATCCAACAGTTGAATGCAACTAGTTTTTATTATGTTATCTTTGGCTTTTTACCTGTTTTCCACTTTATATTTTTTTAAAAAAAGGAAAACTGGCATTCAGTGCATCAGCAGTGTAGCCTAGTGGCTGAGCACCGTGAGCTATACCTTATGCTTCTTGCTGGAAGTGTTTCCAGGGCTCCCTGTGCTCTACTGGTGCTGTCTTCTGGAACAGCCAAGCACTGCAATGGGCTCCGGGATGCACAGGGGTAGCTTCATGCCAGAGGGTTTTCTCCTTTGGGTTAGACGCAATCTCCTGGGTCAAACGTTCTCCCTGTCCCTGCAATGAAGCCAGAAGTCATTTATTCCCACCCGCTGTGCCCAGGCTCTTGGAGCTGCTAGCAGCCGGTGTGAGCTGCTCCTATCTGCAGGATGCTTCAGTGCACTTTGGATGGGATGCTGGGCCAGGAATGCTGCTGTCCCAGGATTCAGGGAACATTTTTACCTGGCTTATGGCCTCCTCTGCACACTCTCTCCCTATGCTGCCATGTGAGTAACTAAAAACTGAGATCTTTCTACTGAAAAAATCTGACTAGGTGTTTTGTGTATCTCTGATTTTAGGATGAAATTTTGACAGTCATCAGGAGAGTAGATGACAACTGGGCAGAAGGAATGCTAGGTGACAAGATTGGCATTTTCCCTATCCTCTATGTTGAGGTAAGTTCACAACAGGTGATGGTGGTGGTGGGTGCTGGTCTTGATATCTTGTAAGTTTTTTGTTCCACAAGGGCAGGATAACCTTTAAAATTCTGAAATGAGAAGGACAAATTATACCAGAATAACTGAAAAGGGAATTTTTTGGTTGCTGTCCCCCAAGGCACTGTGAGGGTATACTCAGTTCGGTTTTAAATGGCCTGCAAAACATATGCCCTGAAATACTGCTGAAGGCTTTCCATGTATATTGCACACACCTGAGGGGAGGTGGGTGCTGCTGGCAGGTGGGGAACAGTGGTTCAGGCTCATCTGTACCCTGAAAGCACAGACAGAGGGGTGCTGTGGGTGTCCCCTACCCCAGCAGGAGCTCAGACAGCCCCACTCATTCCCTGTGCACCAGACCCATCCTTGTTCTGAGCATTTTCCTGTGATCATTTCCATGGGAGGCTTATCTCAGAGTAAACATTGAGACTCCATGTCCTCCAAGCAGACCCTCTTCCCATTGCTGTGGTCCCTCCTGCTGGTGCTCCTCCATCTGGGTGCTGCATGGAAGAGGAGCTGCAGTAAGCAGTGAGCAATGGTGACCCATGGTGGCCCCACTGGAGATGCTGTGTTGTCCAGGTGCCAGGTAATGCCTTTAGGGAGCTTTCCTCCTTCATGAGTGAACCAGGAGTGCAAAGAACAGATGGGCACCACACATGTGTGTATGTTTTCGAGGTGCTGCCACTCTGCAGCACCCTCACTCTGCTCCCAAGCGTAGGCTGGTGCCACTTCCTGGAGTGAAGCATCTCTTGTGCCCACAGCAGAGCCCGCCCTGCTGTGTGTGGCTCTGATGCCTGCCTCTGAAATTACTTTTCCAGATTTCTTAGTTAATGATTTGAGACAAAATAGAGATAATTAGTGCCTGACTACCTAATTATTAACTCCGATAATGACCAATTTGGAATAAACCATCATTAATATACATTGCGTTCCCACAGTTGACAAGAACAATAATATTAAAACCAGAATGCGTAGGAGCTTTTATTGGGAAACCAGCTGCCTCACATAAGTTAATGACTACTTTTCTTCTATTCTGAACATGTAAGACATTTTCAGTTTGTTGTGTTTAAATGAGAAGACTGGGTTTCTTCCAGATTTCATCCTTTTTCCCTTCTTTTTCTTGTCCTGGGGGAGTACGATGTCACTGTCCTGAACTTTGCTGCGGAAAGAATGAATTGGGGACCTCTTCACAGCCAGCCACCATTGCACCCATCCATCCATTGCACCACATTTGCCTATCTCTAGTTTCACCTGCAAGCCGTAAGAGCTTGCACTGCCTGCACACTCTACAACATCCTGACCCATCTCCCACCCCCTAGGTATCCTTTCTCCTTAATTACTGCTCTCAGAGGGTGAAGGGCTCAGAACCTCAGAGGAACACATATCATGATGTCTCACTGAAGTTCTCCAAGCACTAGCACGTCCTGGGTGGCCACAGAGGAGCAAGAGGTAGCACTGTGCAGAGTCAGAACAGCAATGCTGGAAGTTTCCAAAGAGATGCAAACAGCCAGGCAGCCAGCACCAGGGGAGAACAACACACCTAGGAATGTGTGTGTGCATATATAGTCATACACAGACACACACATATCTAAAAGAAATACAACTATGTACACTTATATTTTGTGTATATATGCACACACATGGGCATAGTACTTGTGTCATGGTTTGTAAAGCCAAAGGGAAATGATCCTACAGTCAGAAACATGAGCCACTTATTTCATACACATCCTGGTGGATGGAGGCCTTGTTCTGAATATGAGATGAGCTTATGCAACTATTGGAGTTATACAATTATGTCGCTGTTGCCAGCTTCAGATGTTACTTTGCATTAAAAATTAAGAGGAATCAGCAGGCCAAATCCCAAAGAAGTTTTGAAAATCTCAGTGCCAATGTTTATAAAATAAACCCATTAAACGAGTAGTACTTGAATCTAGAAACACTCCTTGAGTCTGTCCAAGTCCATTAAGTGGTTTTCAAAATCTTGGCAAAATGTGCAGAATAAGCAAAGCTTAACTCTCACCATAGCCTTCCACTTGTGTGAGCCAATCGGCCAAAGTGCGTGGGATTTCACATGGCATCCAAAGCCCTGCACTCTACGTGGAGCAAATTCCCACCCAGAGCCCATCTCTAACGGCATGCTCTGGTGTCCTCAGCTGCTCCCATGGCCCAGACAAGAGCTCTTACCCTTGCTAAGGCAGCCAGAGCATTAGAAAACAAGCCAGTCACTTCAAGGATCTTATTGCTGAGCATTCCAGGGCTACAAAAAGGGGATTAAATTCTAGTGGAGACCTCCCTTTGGTGAGATTTCATCCTGGCAAGTTGCTGCCATGCCCCTCACACAGGTGCCTGCACGAAAGGCTTTTGCAAGTGCTCTGCTACAAAGCGTTTGCAGGCCTAAGCCACAGCAGGGTGGGAAGGAGGGGTGTCCTGCAGCCCCACTGGGTGACAGCGAATTCCTCACCAGGGCTCCCAGCACTTGGGCTTGTCAGCCAGCCTATGTAAAAGCCTGCAGCATCTCTCTAGGCTCTTTCATCTTCTTTCCACCCTGGGCTTACAGAAACTGAGAGTGGTCCACTGCTGTAAGGGAAGCTTGAGAGGGCAACTTGTAGAGCAAGACCGTGGTGTGACAAAGCAGTGGCACAGAAAACCAGCCAAAGATGTCAAAATGTATCTGCTCCCTGCAGTGTTTTAGAAAGTCTGTAACTCAGCATTATGTGTGGTTGTCCATATAGCCATGTCAGTGTAACACGGCATAGATTTTATGCTTTATTCCCTACAAGTGTCCAGTAAGGGTGTTTGTGTGCCTGCTGTGTCTGACAGCTCTCTGCAGAGAGGCTTTTTCCTGCCTCAACCTCAGAGAAGCTACAATTGTATAAGGAATAAATACTTGCAGCTCACAATGGTGACTTTTACAGAATGAGTCACACACAATATGTCCTGTCAGGGAGAGTTTGCATTATTTTTTTTCTTATTTTGTTGCCGTCCTTCATCTCCAGTAGAAGTCATTTGGGCTGATAATTTATGTTTTAATTTGTCTACAGAAAACCACTACATAATCAAATTGTGTCTCAAGGTGCCTTCTGTCCTGAAATAAACATCTTATTAATAATCTGTATGGTTTGAACTCATATTCTTGCTGGGAGGAGTTTTGGACTTGCAAGGAATTCAAAGTCCTAACTAAATTTCTTTTATTTTACTGTCTTCGAGCTAGCTCCTTCTTTCTTAATAACTGCTGTTATTATGTCTGTTTGGAAGTCATAAATGTGGTGCTGCTACATGTGAAATTGAGAATAATGAAGAATACAGTGTGTTCTAATAGATTTAAGTGTCTGGGAATGAAATTTGAAGGCAGTGGCATGCCGAGTATTTGGAGTGACGCATCCTGCTTGGATGGGCAGGAACTGGAAATTCAAAAAGCTGAGTTGTTAGACTAAAATTTCTGGCTGCAACCCCCAGAGCAAAGAAGTATTGACCGAGATCAAGAAGCCTTACGAGTCAGTGGTAGAGCAAAGCAATTATGTTGAGCACTACTGTGACTGTAATATCAGCAAATTACAATTGATGAAGTGCCAGCCCATTGTTATAATGTTTTATGGCAGCAGGGGCACTGAAAGCTGTGATTAAGTAATATTAGGAGTTTTAAAATTCTTTTTACAGAGCAGTGGAGCAGGGTAATGAGGATCTTCTCCTGTTCTTCACAGTCAAAAAAAGAAGAAGGTGGAAAGGAGGTCTGGGAGAAACAGGGAGGAGGAGAATGGGCAGAGCTGATGGTTTCAGTGCTCTGCAGCACAGATCCACAAGACTCCCAGAGGAAAAGAATTCTTGCGAGTCAGTGTTTAAAAAGAGTTTAGCGAAAAGCGAAAAAATACAATAAAAACCCAAAGCCAAATGCATTTTTTAAAGAAAACAATTAATTTTTTCATTCCAAAATTAGTTTTGCAGAGCAGAGCACCTTGTTTAACAATTTTGTGCTGTACCACTGGATCTACCAATCATCCTAAAACAGCTTAACCCATACAGGGGAACCTGAGCACATTTGACAGGATCATTAAAGAGTGTCACAAAGACCCATCTACCCAGCTGAAATTGTCCTTAACTGCATAACTATGTACTTTGCTGAGGGTCATCTTCAGTTAACCTGCAGAGAAATGCAAATGGTTGAGACCTGTGTGTGTGTGTGTGTGTGTGTGTGTTCAGTTAATCTGAAGACTTGGAGGAGATACAGGGAGCCACTCTGAAAAGAGCAAAGCCTTGTTGTCCCCAGTGGCAGTCATCACAGTTCCATTCTTGAAAACTCAGATGTGTGTCTGTGTGTATTTCTAGCTCTAATAGATCTTTTGACCATTTTCAATATCAACAAATAATTGTTGCCCTGTCCACTTCTTGTCTGTGTTTTCTCTCTCCTCAATCTGTTTGGCTCCTTTCTTCAGCTGCAGGACAGATGGGTCCCTATGGGACTCTCATAATGAATTCAACCTTGATGTCTGACACATCATTTATATCTGTGTGGTAGCTGTGGCAGCATACTCTGCACCTTTCGCAGTATCCTTTATTAAATCCTTCAAAAGAAAGAAACATTAGACAGTCAACAGATAGTAGGATTTGTTTGGTGCCCTTTGGAAAGAAACAAAATACAGTCTCTGGTTTTAAAGACAGCCAAAATGGCTCATTTTAGCCTTGCTAGTATCATTTCATGCTAATAAAAATGAAGGCTTTTGAAAGGTGCGTAGAAGGAAACTAATGTAGATTATTTTAGAAAAGCTGGCTTACTAAATCTCAGAGGAGCAAATTCATCCCAGTAGCATAAGTGTAACGCTAATGAGTTAAGAATTATACCCATTAACATCAGAACTGATTTTTTTCTCTTCTCTCTCTTTTTGTGTGTCAGATAAAAATTGAATAAGAACCTTGTAAAGCTGACAATAATGTAAGCTCTAAGAGGTATTCAGCTAATTTCTTTT